TGTGCGCCTGCGCAGCCGCCGCGGTCCCCGCCCAGGGTTCGTCAGCGACGGGGCTGAGTTCGGGTTCCTTCGGCTAGGCTCGAGTATTTCCGCTCGTGCGGGGCGTCCCTCGGTCACTTCCGGAAACGTTCGAGGTTCCTGGCAGGGGACGGTGTCGCCGCCATCTTTAAGTGGGGCAGATGCAGTCCGCCTCACTCGCGGTCCGGCCATTCCCTCTTGCCCTACTGCAGACCGCGGCAGGGGCGTGGTCAAATGAGGCCCTTGTCCCGGAGGTCAGACAGGGACATGGTGATGCCGGGGCCAGGGCCTGGGGTGAGGCCAGGGGTGTTGTCCGGAGGGTAAGGGGTGGAGCACCCTCATGTCCCATCGCAAACCCCAACCACCCGCTCGCGGAGATGCTAGTTGAGCTGAAGTAACCAAACACCTATAGTACCAGAGAACGGTCAGCACGGTGAAGTGTTATGCGGGGAACTTGGGGGGCGGGGCCCCGCGGCGCCGCCACGGGCGTGGTGGGCGGGCCCAGCTTCTCCCCCAATCACAGCTCAGCATGCTCCGAAGGGCGGGAGGCAGCGACGTGAGTGGTTCCGCAATTTCCGGCGTCACCGCAGAAATCTTCCGGCCGGTGAGGAGGTGGGTCGCGAGGGCAGGACCGCGGTGGGCAGCTCTAGCGGAGCGCCCGGAGCATTGTGGGAGACGCAGGCGCGCGGATCTCAGCTCGGCGCAGTCGCCTGGACGCCCTCCTCGTCCTCGGACGGACCGGCAACCACCGCACACCCTCCCTCAACCGGCGAATTACCGCGGCCTCCGCGGAGGCTCTGCCCCGTGAGTGCCGGGACCCTCGGCGCCCGGGCCCCCTGGACTGACCCCGGCTGTCTTTCTGTAACTGCCTCTCCTCCCGGCCTGGCCGTCCTCAGTGCCGCCGACTCACAGGCCCCCTCCAGCCCCAGGAGAGCGGGATGCTGGCGATGTGCGGGGGTGCACACCGGCGTTCCCCGGCTGCAGACGGGACTGGTCCTGGGAGTCAGGGGCCTCCAGACTGAGCGCTTTCCCTCGGGCCCTCCCTCCCCGTTCTTGCTGGCCGCTCTGCTCTTGTCATTTTGGTCTCCTCGTGGGGGTGGATGACCATCCTTTTCCCAGCCAGAGTCTCAGGGGTGGCGGTTCTGGCCAGCCTGGCCCGCGTGTCCACCTCTGGGCATAGGGTGTGGGTTCCTTGGAGAGGTGACGCTGGACTGGCCAAAGCTGGACTAACGTCATGGCTTCGACTCAACCGTGCAAACCATTCTGGGTAAAGGAGGCCATGGGGGCCGGACCAGGGAGGGAGGGAGGGGATGGCCGAACTCAGGCGGGGGCTGGATTGGAAGCGGTGCAGCTGCGTCTTTTTTGTCACCGTTTCGGCCACCAGAGGTGGCAGAGGGCACAGCTGGTTTGCCTGCGGAGGGGCCTGAGCCTCTGGGAGGCAGCAAGCGCTTGGCACCTGCAAAAGCCCCGAGGGAAGCCAGGGCTAGAGCCTTGCGGGAAGGGCAGGACACGAAGGAGAGGATGAGGGTGGAAGTGCAGCCCGGGGGGTGGGAGTGACCGCTGGAGGGCTGGGCACTGGCCTGGGGCCTGCCCCCACCCTGTTCCCGTAGGAGGATGCGGGAAAGTCCTGCAAGAATGTGTATTTCCAGATAAAACCTTCCAGCTTTTTCACCTCAGGGATGTCCTCCCAGGTTTAAAGTTTGACAGACACACGCCAGGCCGTATCTGGGCTGCTGGGCACTGGCTTCCTACGTCTAGTGCATCCGATGAGCTTTGCCAGCCAAGGAGAACTAGGCCTTCCAGGCCCTCCCGGCACCGGGCTCGGGCAGCGGATGTGTGTGTCCTGGGCAAACTGCGCTGGAGTCATAAGAGGAGGCACCCAGAGACGTGCAGGCGCTGCTAGGAGCCACCTCTTCGGGGGTCGTGGCTCTCGGGGGCCGCGAGGTCGCAGTGGGAAGGGTGGGTGTGTGGACTTAGCTGTTGGAGAGGGACCCGCAGGGGCGGCGGCATCGTGCGCGGAGACCCAGACCAGGTTCCTTCTACTGTTTATTGAGCATCTACCGGGGCCGGGCCCTGGGGCGGCGGCCTCACAACCCGTGCGGCAGGTGTACCGTCC